GTATCGTATCGTGGTTTCTAGCGAGAATATAATCATAGTTTGTGTAACATAGTGCTATATAATGTAACCAAATTGCACCTGTTCACTGGCCTTCGAAGGTTAGTTTAGCCTTTGATAAGCAATTTATTAGGATTTTGTGTCTCTGTTAGATCTTACTCATTTAAAGTTCTACGTTTAGATTTAGACATATATTATTGATGCCATCGATATTAATCATGTGGCCGGTACCAATGTGACTTTTTCCGAGTTATATATACTTTCTAAGATTATTTAGACACCACTGACAAACGGTGAAGGAAACATCGTAAGGAAACCTGAGCTTATAATTTCAGATTTCAATTGAAATCGCCAATCCACATTGAGCAAGCGTGGTGATTAATGCTCAAACCTTGTCTGTGCGAGAAGACGCCTTTGGTCAGCAGTGGCCACTTATAGGCTGTTGATGATGATGATGATGATGATCGATATTAATATTTCTGTGGATAATGTAAACAAGCAGTGTTTTGAAATACTTTATTTATTTATTTATCATTTCATGTACACCATACAGCAAACAATATTAGGTACAGAGGACAACACATTAAAAGCATGAGATACATAGGTTTAATATATTTTTGTCTGTAATAGACAATTTATCTAGGTCTGTAATTTATGGATTGTGTATTTACTTAGATATGATCTTTTAGTTGATGGAAGATGAAAGATGAATGATGAATCATACATAAATATATTAAGTACGTCTATAGTATAAGTAGATATACTATAGACGTACCTTAAAATCTCAATCGATTCAATTTTAAAATTCTATCGTGCATTTAAAAAAAGAATTGGAATACATAATTAACAGCCATTAGAGATATCTCTACTAATCGTCGCTTGAATACCTACATATAACTCAGTATCACTTCAGTCATTCAAGAGGTTTAAAAGTTTTAACACGTACCTATCCTTGTTATTTTATTGTTAGTTTATTTTATTATTAATTATCATCATAAACTTATTACTGCAGGTATGTACTTGTAATCTTAAATATACCTACGATTTCGTCATGAATTAATTTTAATTTAAGTAAACTAAAAGTTTTAAATTTCATTAAGTGGATACTTATAAGAAACATTTAGATCTGAATTCGTGCATTATGCTATGCCAAAGTACGTAGAATTTAGCTATTCATTCTTTCTTTGTTCTTCATTCGGATTATTACTGGGAAGAATAAATTAAACCGCAAAAAACGGGTAAAAATTGTTTCGCCCCGATAATTTATTTTATGAACGTATCGTACTTAGATGAAACTGTATTTGTTTTGAGGCTGTTAGATACAAACAAAAATAAGTAAGTACATTTTCAAATTCTGAAATATTCAAGTTGTATAAACTCAGTGTCACATTTATATGTATTATGTGAGATTTGCGACCCATACCTACTTAAACGGGTAACCGGGGCTCCGACTCGACGTGCAGGAGAAGGAACGGGTTGGTTTTTAGTCAGTAAGAGTCTGACACTCCCTCCCGCCTCACCCAGGCGGGAGCAGTCATACGATAACTTTCCCCGCTTAAAAAAAATACCTAGGTACTTAGATATATAATATATAATAAGCATTTATTTATCGTGTTTTATTTTATGTCTTGTAAGAATATTATAGATACTGGGTGTTGTCAAGGATATAAATTTTAACTGGAATTGACAAGTTCACGTTTGTCAAAATAGTGAGTAATGTTTTTTATTGATGCCATAAGTACCTATAGAATGTGCGTACTTTCACTGCACTGTGGTAAAAATCACACTAGCGGAGATAAAAAAATCTAAATGTTATTACATCAACGATTTCTAAAATTGTTAAGAGTCAGTACACCGTGCGTTTTGCATTTATGTCTGTGTGTAATTCAGTTATGTCTAATTTTGTTGTTTAAAAATCGTCTCTCTAAGATTTTCAAATTACAAGTCCGTGTGTCGATTTACACAAAAAATTAATAACCGGTCTTAATTAAAAAATCTTTAGGTAAGAATGCTTTTTGATATTAATTGTTTTGGATTATCTTCCAAAAAACTTAGATCGATCCGAAAGATTTTGGTTATATGGTACCTAATTAAGTTGTTTCCTCAATAAATCAACAATAGGGAGGTATATCTACACCTCTGCCTTTGAAAACGCCTTTTGTTGTATTACCTACTCAAAAAACCTTTCGATGACAAATTGATTTTCCACGTAGGTAGGTATCACGACTTCGACCCCGGAAAACATAAATGATGTCCAAATATGTACCTGTATTTATAAACTTACTTGCACACGTCAGAAAGGAGGAAATTTCAAGCTGCACTTAAATAAGCAAACACAGGCAAAAAGGTTCGTTGACGTCGCATTACTTGGTAAAAGTAAGTCCGTTATTCACAAATTGCTTGACCATGACAATTATTGTGTAGGTATATAAAATCTGCCCAAGAGTAAATTGAAGCCATTGATAGTATTATGGGCGACCTTCACGCGAACAGTGTTCGGTGCGCCGGAGTAGTTTGTGCAATGGTTGCATTCACCGGCTGCGCTTGCGACACCCGCCAATATGTGAGACCAGCGCCATCTACTCCCATAATATTTCAAAAACATATCTCGGATAGGGACATGTAAATTATATTTATAAGTTTAATATGACATACCTTAATAAGTAATTATAGTCGTTAAGAGAATTATGGCGAAATTCAGGCTCTTTTACATCTAGGTAATTTATCATAGAAGTTTGAACTTTATTTTTATGATATTTGTGACATTAGAGTAGATTTATATGCTATCGGATGTACATACAAAGAAATAAAATCTAACTGACTCCATATACATATTTAGGCAGTTACATAAAAAATATACCTACATCAATCCTGGAAACTCACTCGTCGTTTGAAACAGTGCCAATTTTTCTTAAAAACTCTTTCATTTAAAAATCAAAAACTAAAGAATCGTTGGTATTTCCCAAACAGTTATAAAAACCACTAAATTTATTAAGTATATCATTTAAATTTAGAACTAACATTTAAGACCACAACTATGAACTCTAGATGAACATAGACAAATTATTAAGCTTTGTAATATTCATTGTTATTTGTTAATACGCAAGAAAAGATACAGTACCTACTTAAAAAAGTTAATAATATAAAATATTTTACAAAGCTAGCAGTTAAGGAAACCAAAATATGGAAAATTATCTATTTGGATGGTTGACTTACAACCGCAGGTTACTCACGTGAATATACTGAGAAAAGCTCTACTAGTTTCGAACCACAGAGGGGTTCTGCCTCATGACCAGCGTGCGCGGTCGCGGCTATGTCGCACAGCCTACTGCCTGCCTGCCAGCTTTTCTTAGTATATTCACGTGAGTACCCGCGATTTTTAATTAATTTAGTATTATGTCTCACGATAGTTATTATATAAACGTATTTGGATGGTATTTAAAAATATTTTGAATGATTTTTTTTTAAATTTAAGAATTAAGTTACAGGCACTTTGACGACAAATGTTTGTTGATTTATACACTAGTTACTACGTTTAAAATTTTCGCTCGTAAATACTACTCTACACAGTATCAGTTTCGAATCAGATTTAATTAATTGTAGCCAAGTTTTACTTCGTAATACTTTGATTTCGAAAAATTATTTTTGTTAATCAAATCAATTTACGATGTATATTTCCTCTTACTTAGTATTTACGAATATTATTCGAAGGAAGACCCGAATTACTTGTTCATTACTTAGATTAAAGTTTACCTATTTAAACTTACCTAATTTAGATATTCAAGGCAAATTCTCTAGATTGCAAATACTTAGATTAATATTTAAAACGTATTGGATTTTGGGGATTCCTAGTAAATCAATATTTAATGTTAAGTGTGCATACCTAGATTTGCAGATTTTTAAAATCTATGTTCTCAAATATTGCCCGATGCCTAATATTGTTTGACCAATATATTTTTGTGATTTCAATGATGTTCCTGATTAATTAATATAAATTATTAGCTCGTTTCCGCTATTGGTGTCATTTAAGACAGGTAAGTATAGGTAGGTTCACAGCCAAAATAAGCCTATTGTTTACTCATAATTTGATTAATTTGTTATAATATTCCAAGTAATAACAATATTTTATGTTCGTAAATTAATAGATTCTGTGAAACAAAACTCTGCATCTGCTTGTTGAACAAAAATTCTGACTGACATACCTATAAAAAATTTTATACTTCAAGAATTGTCACACTCGAAGAGTACACATACAAAATACCAACGTATGCTTAGATTATTTAATTATACCACATCCAGTACACATAGAGCTATGTTACTTAAAATGGATAAGTTATTCACTTTTAAAACTTACTATAACACTTCTCTGCATCACCCTACGGTTGAGTAGTAGATAATGCCATCTGGCATTAAACCCGCCACTGTAAAATAATATTGTATATACATAAAGTGGTTTAAATAAAAAAATAATATTACAAATCAATGATTTACATAAACTACTCAGAGTTGATTGGATCTTGTAATTACTACCTTCAGTACCTACCTTGCCATGAACTCGTTACGTTTATGACCATAGTTACAATGAATGATAACTAATCTGCATTCGAGACACGAAACTAATAACTAAAGTTTACCTCAATTGCATATAAAGTGTGATATTTACATTCGAGGAAGATTTGTTATGTGCATAGAAGTGATATATTATGTATTTTATTTTTCAAGGCTCGTGGGCTCGGGGTCATGTGTAGGACTGTTTTAGGGTTTCGTCTCCAAAAGATTAAGAATTAAGAAGATGAGACTATATTACTTAGAGTCTACAGTCGGTCTGTCTATCTGTTCGTAGTATCTCATGACCTGTGGTAGCTAGATAGACTAGACTAGACATTTTTAATATAAATTTTATCTCAAATTCCAGCATCAATATTAAAAACTAACTAGGTTTTCTGATAAATCACGTTGAATTAAGTAACGAGTCTTAATTCATTTCTTTTTGTTTGTTACAGGTACGGAAACAAGTGAAGTGTTACAAAACAATCAGTGAAAAGTAATGTTCAGTGGTTAAATATACAAACAAATAAATAAACAAAAAGCAAAACAAAGATGTCTATCGAAACACAAGAATATGTGAATGGCATGAGGCCGGGACCTCTAACGAGGGAGATCCCGGAATGTATGAGGGATAAATACACCGTCGTGCAAGCGATTATAGACATTATAATGTTTGTCATCGTCGGCATTGGTTACGTGATAAAGGCTGTTTACTTGAGTATTGTTGGTCGACCGAAAAAGGACCTTAAGGGTGCTGTTGCCGTGGTGACGGGCGGCGGTGGCGGTCTGGGGAGCCTTATTGCTCTAAGACTGGCTCGCCTCGGCTGCACCGTCGTGTTATGGGACATCAACAAACAAGGTCAGTACTAAATTACTAATTACATTAGTGCAACACACGTACAAGTCATCATTTTATTATATTAGTTATATAGTGACACGTTTACAAATTTCAATCGCGTAATTATAATAAAGTCTTCTCTTAGGTTTTGAAGATGACTTCGTAAAGTCAGTATTTTATAACACTGGCTGGCTGTAAAACTAATCAAAGCATTTTGGTCTGTTTTTGAGAATTCTATCGTGTCTATTAATATTAGATATGGAGTCTGTGAGCAATTCAATTTCTAAAATCAATATGACAAAGGACAATCTATACAATACATTCAGACGAAATTACATTATATTATGGTGTGTACCGTGTACCGTAATACTACCCATAAAGGTAAGACGACAATAATTTTCTATAGCAAAATAATGAAGTGTGAAATCGAGTAAAACAATCGCCATAAAACTGATTGTTACAATTGCACAGTGCATAGTTATATGGGTTTCTTTAATATAATCACCGGCATATTACATACAGAGTGAGAAATGTAACAATTGCAGCATCTGTCCACACATTACTTATATTTCCACACCTAATGATTTCTTAGCTACCGTGAAGATGTATTGCAGTACGTAAATAGTGTGTAATTTTCCCCACCTATGTATGACATTTAAAACTATAAAATTTAAAAACTACTTACAAAGAATATAAAAGAAAACTAAAAATAATTAGTTACAAAGAGCGTCAAAAAGTCCCAGCTGGCATAGGAGCAGGCTGGCAGCATTGCCACGTTGTATGACAATACTTAACTGCTAACCGAGGAACAGACCAGCCCTCTGGTCACGAGATACGTCGTCCAAACCGTACTATGTATGTTATATTATATTTCAAAACTATTTTATTTTTTATTTACTATATTTATTTAAGTTTTACACAATTGCGTAAGGAGGACTTAATGCTAACAATTATCTGCCAGTTATCCTACTACACCTATTTACTAGGTCCTAAGTAATTCACTAGGTACCTACCTATTTGGCATTTGGCAGTAAAAAGCTTCATCATTATTTGTTCAACTTGAATATTTATTCCTCAAAAAATGCCAAGCTATTAATCTTTTAGACAGCTATATGTTTCTTTTATTACTTTGAAACTTAAACTCAGATATTGAGAGGACATTAATACTAACAGTTCAAAGTTCAATGATGTGCAGCGACCATCTTGTTTTTGGTGAAGAACACTTATTTCACTTCGACACTTAAATCACACTAAATTACACGATGACAAACAAAATTGTTGTTAGCTTAAGTTAAATATCGTACTTAGGTACTTAGGTACTGTTCGTATATTTGTCAATAATGTATAATATATGGCTTCCGTACTTTATATAAATGTAATTAAAAATTCTTGAAAATATTTTGGATGAAGGAAAATTCTCATAGGTACCTAATACCTTTCTCGAGAAATATTTCCCTTACATTCATATGTCTTTCATTAAACTCTACTTAGTATCCTTATAATAAAAGAAATGTCAACAATCAAATCATGATTAAATGAAGGAGTGCAAGCATTTTTACGTCACAAGCCAAGTTGCGCTGTTTGCATTCATATCATCAAGTGTCCGTGGTCCGTGACATTTAAACACTAATTACATTGGATGCTACATAACATCATAATAATATCAATTATGTACCTATTACTAAATAATATTATAACATTTCCCGACCTGCCTTTTGTCTATAATCCACGTAAATGTCAATGAAAGGTTGGTGGAAGGGTTGCATCAAAATTGATAGCCAGTTTGCGTTAAACCACCTCTGGACCAGAATACGGACGAATTACCACAAGCCACAAGTATACATATTTCTACCCACTTATTGCGTATGCCTATGTAATTTTTTCATGTAATCAACGTTCTTCAGGTCGTGGTGGCCCGAAGTTTTAAGAACCTACCAGCGGCAAGTACCAATGCGACTTTTTCCAAGTTAAATGTACTTTCTAAAATTATCTAGTCACCACTGACAAACGGTGAAGAGAAACATCATGAAGAAACCTGGGCTTATAATTTCTAATTGTAAGTTTGTAATCGCCAACCTGCATTCAGCAAGCGTGGTGATTAATGCTCAAACCTTTTCCGTGTGAGAAGAGGCTTTGCTTAGCAGTGGGCATTTATAGGCTGTTAATGATGATGATGAACGTTCTTCAATATTTAAGTGCTGAGTGACTTGGGCACAGAGTGTTCTGGGGATATATTAGGGTCTTATCTAGCATATTGCATCAAATGTGTAGATAGTAATATACAATTGACTAACATACATGAGATTAATTTTGTAATATCTCTTGTCGTGAAGACGTGGCAAATATTTCCCAACGTAGGCTTAAGCGCTTTCCGCGTTCAATGTGGCAATACAACAATACCTACTCCTGTACATACTATAGTACCTATACTAAAATTCTACCACAACAGTCGTACTGAATTAAATTATACCTTCTACACGACTTACATCATACAATTTGTCCCCGAGTTTCGGTAATTGTGGGCAAATTGCCGTTTTCTTTTCAAATGTCATAACATACTTTGAATGAAGTCCGCTGTCATATTCAATTTTGTGGTGTGCAAAAAGTCTACCTAAATATTGGAATACTTACAAGATGTTTGTATATGTATTGTATATCGAATATAACTCTTACAAAAAATACTTCTAATACAATACACGAGTAATGAAATTATTAACTTGATTTAAACGTATATCACGTATACGGCTCATCGCTAAAAATCTCATTAGCCCGTCAGTTAGGCAATGAAAAATATTAGAAACGTATTTTTTTATTTTACATAAAACGAAACAAAGTTTAGGAGTGGGAGGTAGCTACGTCATTTCAGAGTATAAAATCGTACTCAAAAATGACGTCATGCGATATTTCAAATCAATATATTATCTTCGAAACTATTGGTTTCCGTAAGAAAATCAAAAATATGTGTCTAATTTTTTCAAATAATCTACCAGACGGATATTAAAATAAAAATTAATCATCTACTCTATTGTAAACGCATAATCCCAACCTTATAAAAAAATTAATCCGTGTACTAACACCCAGGGCGTTAAGCGCCGCATAATTAAAACATATCACGGAAGCTAAGTATCAGTAAATAGTAAATAATGATGAATAAGATAAACAAGTGTACACGGTCGGTTTACTAAGTGTATAAGCACTACACATTTGCTTTATACACATACAAGACAGTTTGAAGTGTCCTGTTCCTAGATACATTATAAATAGACCTTCTACCAATGCCATTGAACTTATATTAGTATGATTATAGGTTTCATTTTCCGTGGAACAAGAATATATAACAACACCTATAAACATATGCAGTGTGTGTAAACGATGGGACAATCAAACAGTGTCACAGAACCTGGTCGGCAATGCACTTGCAATGTCTCTTGATATCGGAGCTGATCGTTTCCTATCAATGGTACGCATTTACGCTTCACGCATTGTAAAACAAGGTAAAGGTTAATTTCATAGCTCGTATTACCAACTATACTGTAGATGTTGTTGAATGTAATGGGACTACGATATTACGGAGTTGCCACTCAAACATCGAGGTAGCAGTGTTTACAAAATAACATATCACGATCGATTTTCTCTGTTTCCCCAACGATGTCATTTTCTCATTGATTTGATTGTGGGATTTAAAGTAGTTAATACGTCCTTGGAGCACATCGTGGATCAGTATTTATACCGGTCAGTAATTATTCGCTACTGAACCGAAGAGAACCTAACGGGTTACCGGGGCTCCGGCTCGAAGCGCAGGAGAAGGAACGGGGTGGTTTTTAGTAGTGGTTCCATTGAAAAATGATGAGCAACCAACTCAACACTTAGGACCTTAACCTCAAGATGTACGCATTTATGAACCTTTTAGTGCGACTAGCACTTACTTGTTTTTCTTACGAGGTATTTTTTATATAAATAATATGTTAAGTAGATATCTTCTGCTAGTTGGCCTTTAATAATTGCTGTGTATTTAAACACTTAGCTATTTATCGTGCTTCATTTATATTGTTATTTAAAGGTCAAAGACTTAGTACGGTTGCCAGTAGCAGTTTAATGCACCGTTGAACACATCAGTATTATTCTTATAGATATAGTTCTTGATTAAGGATTGCCTATAAAGGCCACTTCAATATTTATTAATGTAAGATATGTGAGATATTAATGTAAGAGAAGAACATATGTAGTGTTATAATAAATCGTCGTCTTTTACCAATCAAGTAGTGAAGTTGCAACAGTTACCATCGTCAACTAGTTAGGTCAAAAACGCTAAAAAGCCATCAATATTGACGGTCATTATTAATTATAGCTACACTTCAATTCTTCAAAGTTCATTAAGTGAAACATCAACTGCAGTACGTTTCCTAATAAATTCACTTTTCAGAATGCTTTGAGTGAGAGTTGTTAGACTATTAGTTGTGTGTTTAACATAGTTAGTTGTAGTTAGAACTATGTACATCGCACGTGGTCGACCGGTTGGAGCTAAGTGCTTTACAACTGGTTCCAGTTATTATGAAATTGTAATCTCAATGATGTTTCGTATAATAAAGAGGGGTTTAAGACATTTCTATTCAGATTCCTTTGCGTTTTATTGCTTTGCAAAGGGACCGACAATACTAGTTTTGTCCTTTCGTTGAGCTAAAGGTTCTCTGATAACATAGTCTGTATATCAGTTATTATTATTCTGAAATGTATTTTGATTGTTTGGGAAGCACCCAATGGCGTGATGTTACGTATTGTAGACAAATAAATACAAAAAGTATTACATCGATGTCTACCAGTAGCTATATTTTCAAGCACACTTGAAGTTTTTCTAGTACCTACATATTTTGCAAGTTATCCAATAGAGACAAATGTTTGTACACATATGTTTGCAAATATATTATTTAATGATTACGTAGATGAAAAAATAGAATGATAAATACTAAGTAATATAGGTCTAAAGATGCATCTTAAAGGGCAAGTTAAAGATAAACATTGTT